CTTGTCTATATATCTTCCATCATACTACTTGCAGGAACCTGATGAACATTGCTCATCGGTATTTCTTCAATGCCTACCACAGTCCCAGATGTATAGTAGGCATTCAATAAATTGAAGGAATGAAGAAAAGAATCACCAAGTCACCCTGGCCGGTTTTGCTCAGTGGATAGAGCGTCAGCCTGTGGACTGAAGGGTCCCAGGTTTGATTCTGGTCAAGGGCATGTGCCTTGGTTGTGGGCACATCCCCAGTAGGGGGTGTGTAGGAGGCAGCTGATCAATGTTTCTCTCTCATCGATGTTTCTAACTCTCTATCCCTCTCCCTTCCTCTCTGTAAAAAATCAATAAAATATAGTAAAAAAAAAAAAAAAAAAGAATCACCGAGTCTCCAGCTAGGGTCAACAGTATCATAAATATGTCTCAAGCACCTATTATGTGTCATTTTACTAACCAAATTATTATTTTAATTGTTGACAGTAATACAGATGTCCCCCATTTCCCCCCCCCATTTACCCCTTCCACCCAACACACACCCCACCCAGGCCTTCACCACCCTATTGTCTGTGTCCATGGGCTATGCATATAAGCATATATGTACTTTGCTTAATCTCCTCCACCCCCCCCCACATCCTCCCCTCTGAGATCTGTCAGCCAAATTATTTTTTAAATTGAATTTGTCCCCTGGAGTTATTTACCAATGCCATCATCTTAGTTAAGTATCTATCATTTCTTGATTAAGTTACTGCAGTAGCTTTTTAACTTCAATCTCAGGCCTCTCTATCCTATTTGCCACACAGCTGCCAGAATGAGCTTTCTGGAAACAAATCAGGCCATGTCACTCCACAGCTTAATGGCCACAGTGAGCTCATAATAGCCTACAAGGTATTCCAAAACCTGAGCATAGCAGACCAGAACCTACTTATCTTGGCTCCTGCAGCCTCTACTCTAGCCACATCAACAGCCACGCCCCCATGGGCACCCTACTCTCCAGTCTTAGTAAATGAATTGCAGGTCCCCCCAAATGCCTCGGCTTCTTGTCATGGTACAGATCCCTTCTCTCACACACACTTGCCATCAAGCAGCTTGCCTGGTCCACACCTATGCTTTCAACAAAAGGTGTGTGGACCCTTTGTTAGACACCATGACCAAGTGGGATTTCTCCCATGAATGTAACATATGAAAGGCAATTAATGTAATGCACCCTGCTAATAGAATGCAGGGGGGGGGATCGCATGCTCATTTATTTCATAGATGTAGTGGGAAGGGAAGCATTGGACAAAATCCAACACCCTTTCATGAAAATAAATTCAACAAAATAGGAATAGAAGAGAACTTCCTCAACCTGATAAAGAGCATCCCATTGACAATGGTGAAAGACTGGGTACTTCCCCCAGCCATCAGGAGGAAGATAAGAATGTTTGTTCTTGACATTCTATGCAACATTATACTCAAAGTTCTAGCCAGGCCAGCTAGATAAAATGCATTCCAATTGGAAAGGAGCAAGTAAAACCATCTTATCCAAGACATGTTCATATATATATATATATATATATATATATATATATATATGTAAAACACTAAAGAATATAGTAAAACACAACAGCCTATTCAAACATGCAATAAAGGAGCTCAGCAAAGTTGCAGGAGTCCAGATCAATGTGCAAGCATCAGTTGTATTTCTACACACTAGCAACGAACATTCTAAAAATGAGGTTAAGAAAATCATGGCTTTTACAGCATCATCCAAAAGAAAATACAATACTGAGGAATAAATTTAACAAAAGACATGTCAGACTTGTACTCTGAAAACTGCAAACCATTGCTGAAGGAAATGAAAGAGGACCGAAATACATGGAAAGGCATCCCGTGTTAGTGGATTGAGCATTTAATATTGCTAAGATGGCCACAATCCCCAAGGCAATATTCAGACTCAGTGCCATGCCTGTTACAATCTAACTTGGTTTCCTTGTGAAAATTGACAAGCTGACCCTTAAATTCACATGGAAATGCAAGGAATACGGACAGCCAAAACACGCTCACAAAGAAGAACAAAGTGGGAGGACTCTCACTTCCCAATTTCAGAGCTAACTACAAAGCTATAGCAATCTTACAGAGTGTGGCCCTGGCATAACGATAGGCCTATTGTAGGTCAATGTTTTAGAATTTAGAATCATAAACAAACTCATATATGTATAAATAATTGATTTCCAATAAGGGTACCAAGACCATTCAATGGAACAATGAAACATCTCTTCAAAAAAGGGGGTGCAGGGACAACTCAATATCCACAGATATAAGAATGAATATGGACCCCAAACTCACACCAGGTACAAATATTAAATCTGATGGACCACAGACCTAAACTTAAGGGCTGAAACAATATAACTCTTGAAATAAAGCATAGGTGCAAATCCCCATGACCTTGGATTAGGCAACGGGTACAAAATATGAGAGCAAAAGCAAAGCCACAAAAGACAAAGAAAAAAAAAACAGATAAATTGTATAGCATCCAAATACTAAACTTTTATGCATCAAAGGACTCTGTCTAGAGAGTGAAAGGACAAACTCCAGTATGGGAGAGACATTTGCAAATTACATATCTGATAGTGGCCTACTTTCCAGACTGCATCAAGAACCTTAAAACTCAGCAACAGGAAAGACAAGCAGCCCAGTTTTAGGAAATGGGCAAAGCAGTTGAAAGTACATCTGCTTCCTCCAAAGCAGATGTACAAATGGCCAAGAGGCACATGAAAGGGTGCTCAACATCACTAGCCATGAGGGAAATGCAAATCAAAACGATGAGCTACCACTTCACACACACTGGGATGAGATTATAAGCAAAACAAAAGGGAAATGAGTTTTGATGAGGATATGGAGCAATGGGGGCCTCAGACACTGTTGTCAGAACTGTAAAATGGAACCATCACTATGGAAACCAGTGGGCGGTTCCTCAGGAAGTTCAACATAGAATTACCACATGGCCTGGCAATTCCTCTCCTAGATATGCACACAGAAGAACGGAAAACAGGTGTTCAAACGGAACCCTGTGCAGGAATGTTCACCGCGGTGCTATTCACAACAGCCAGAAGGTGAAAATGACCCAAACATCCATCCACTGAGGAACCGATGCCCAACATGTAGTCCACCCATACAATGGAATGTTATTCAGGCATGAAAAGGGAATGAAGTGCTGATTCATGCTACCACTGGGGTGAACCATAATGAGACCATTATGTTCAGTGAAGGTAGGCAGACACAAAAAGCCACCCATTTATCCTATGATTACATCCCTAGAAATTTCCAGAATAGGCGAGCCTCTATGGACAGGAAGCGGGTTCATGGTTGCCTGGGCCTAGGGGAGGAGGAGAGGGCATGTGGGGGTGGGGAGAGGAGGAGGGCAGTGGGAGTGACTGCCACACAGGGTACAGGGGTTTCTTTTTGGGGAGGTTCCAACGCTTTGGAAGTAGGTAGGTGTGCTGGCTGTCCAACATCACCAGTTATACCTGGTGCCACTGGATCCCGCATGGTTTTTCTCTACAACAATCCTGTCCAGTGGACAATGAGAGTTCCCTCAAAGAGAGGGTCCCATGAGTAAGGGTGAGCAGGGCGCTGCCAGCACCCTTCTTTGCAGGCCGCGGCCCACCAGGGCCAATGGGAAAGCAGTGACCTCACCGAACTTATGTGTCATACAGCCTGTACCTGGACCAATGAGGGGTCGGTCCATGGTCGCGAGGATACAGAGCAGGAGCCTCTGTACTGGCCACCTTGAGCGGTTGAGGCCAACTGGCATCTTCCTGAACCCAACCGCACTGAACCGCACCGCAGCACACCACAGCGCACTGTAGATCTAGGCGGGTCAGAGACAGTGCACCCCAGCGCCCATCATGTCTGGGCAAAGGAGCCGCGGAGGTTCTTCTGATCACCAGAGGCGGAACCGCACCAGAAGCCGCACCAGCAGAGCTGAATTGACCTTCTCTGTGAGCCACCTGGAGCACCTCCTGCGGGACGGCCATTACACCCAGCGTCTCAGCGCCAACGCACCTGTGTATCTGGCGGCCATCATCCAGTACCTGACGGCCACGGTCCTGGAGCTGGCGGGCAACGAGGCCCAGAAAATCGGCTGCAGGCGCATCACCCCGGCGCTGCTGGACATGGCGATCCACAACAACGCACTGCTCAGCGGTTTCTTCGAGAACACCACCATCTCCCAAGTGGCCCCGGGCAGGCGGTAGCTTCCCAACATGACCTGGGCTCCCCGGGCCTCGGCCCACTCACAGCCCAGGCAGCCCGGGCCTGTCTGGCGCCTTGGGCCAAGTTATTGAAAATAAAGTGTTGAAGGAAACCCCTGTGCCTGCTTCAGTCACTCTGTGTGGGAGGTGGTTGGAGGGATGGGCTGGTGGTGGTGTGTTCCTGGGAGCGGGGGTGGAGTCGGGGATGACAGGACAGGAGCAGCCCCCATGGTGACAGTGCAGGGGGTGGTCCAGGGTGGGAGAGGCCGGCTGGGTGGGGGTAGGCTGGGGTCTGGAAAACTCCCCCATCGCCTCTGAGCAAGTCAGAGCCTGGCAAGGTCCCCAGAAGGCTGGTGTTCACTGGGGTAGAGTGCAAGACCATGACTCAGGCATCGTGATAGGGTGAAGGTGCAATGCCAACCCGCCTGCAGAATGGAGGGGTGGGCGGAGTGGTTGGCATCGACTCCAAGAGGGCTTTGACAGGAAGATTGAGGAGTGAAGGGGAGCGGGGACAAGGAGAAAGATGCAAAATCAGAATGAGCGTCACGCCTGGTCACGAGTTTATTTTTGGTCCTGTTCCCTTAGAGATGCTGGAGACACCCTTAGCAACCTGGGTAAACAAGCTGTCACCTAGCAACAGAGGGCTTGCGGCCAGGCCCCGCCCCAGGACCCGTGATTCGTTCATACTCATTGTACCAGACCAGGCCCCGCCCAGGGCATCCTATATTTACATATCACCAGGGCAACGATAGGGCGTGGGATGCCTGTGCCTGCTCTGTGGGAGGGAGGCCGATGGGGGACGCAGGGCACGTCGCTGTCAGCTGCCTGCACCCACAAAGTCCGCCCAGAGGAAGCACTTGGGCTGGGAACATGGCGGCGTCCTCCAGCGGCCTGGGTGGCTTTTCCGGACTGGGGATGGATGCCGGGGACTTCCTGGCCAGGTACCGGCAGGTGTTGAACAAGCTGAAGAAGCGGTTCCTGCGGAAGCCGAACGTGGCGGAGGCCGGCGAGCAGTTCGCCCAGCTGGGCCGCGAGCTGCGCGCCCAGGAGTGCCTGCCCTACGCGGCCTGGTGCCAGCTGGCCGTGGCGCGCTGCCACCAGGCGCTGTTCCACGGGCCGGGGGAGGCCCTGGCGCTCACCGAGGCCGCCCGCCTCTTCCTGCAGCAGGAGCTCGAGGCGCGCCAGCGGCTCGCCTGCCCCGCCGCCTACGGGGAGCCCCTGCAGGCGGCCGCCAGCGCCCTGGGCGCCGCCGTGCGCCTGCACCTCGAGCTGGGCCAGCCGGTGGCCGCCGCCGCCCTCTGCCTGGAGCTGGCCGCCGCCCTGCGCGACCTGGGCCAGCCGGCCGCCGCCGCCGGCCACTTCCAGCGCGCCGCCCAGCTGCAGCTGTCGCAGCTGCCCCTGGCCGCGCTGCAGGCGCTCGGGGACGCCGCCTCCTGCCTGCTGCTGGCGCGCGACTACAACGGCGCCCTGGCCATCTTCACGCGCATGCAGCGCCTGGCGCAGGAGCACGGCAGCCACCCGGTGCCGCCGCCGCTGCCGCCGCTCCCGCCGCCGCCGCCGCCGCAGGTACACGGCCCCGGCGCGGCCCCCGCCCCGCCCGCCGCGCCGCTCCCTCCCAGCGCCGCCGGCTCTGCGGCCGCGCCCTCCCCCGCCGTGCTGGGCGCCTTCTCGGACGTCCTGGTCCGCTGCGAGGTGTCCCGCGTGCTGCTGCTGCTGCTCCTGCAGCCGCCGCCCGCCAAGCTGCTCCCGGAGCACGCGCACACCCTGGAGAAGTACTCCTGGGAGGCTTTTGACAGCCAGGGCCAGGAGGGCAGCGGCCAGCTCCCCGAAGACCTCTTCCTGCTGCTCCAGTCCCTGGTCATGGCCACCCACGAGAAGGACACGGAAGCCGTCAAGGCGCTGCAGGTGGAGATGTGGCCGCTGCTGAGCGCCGAGCAGAACCACCTGCTTCACCTCGTGCTGCAGGAAACCATCTCCCCCTCGGGACAGGGGATCGGATGACTCGCATTAGCCTGGTGACACTGCCTGCTGCCAGACCCCAGGCACCCGCCTCTGCATTTGGAGGGAAATAAAAGATATTGATCACCGCCGTTCTACCTTTGTTAGCTTATTCCTCTTGCCGCCACAGAAATCTCGTTGACTGAAAGTTACCTGTACCCCAAAGATATATTTCCACAATAGTGGGAGAAAAAAGCAGTGTGATGGGACCGGAGCAGAGCACATGGCTCGCTTCCCCAAAAACTGCAACATAAAAATGAGACTCCTTTTACCCCGTTTCTCTTCCACCCAAGTCGCCTCACTCCATACCCCAATCTTTGTTTCATTATCAGGATTTTATTTTGCACTGCTGTCTAAATACTTAAGCTCTGTGGGTTTTTTTTTTTATCATGACTAATTTTTTGATGCATTTTTATATCTATCTACTATCTATGTGATCACCCCATTTCTCATGTTTTATCTACCCCATACATATTCATGGGAACCATTTGGTTCCATACATCGTTGTTGCTACAGCTCTAAATCTATGATAAAGCCATTCCAAAAGTCCTGACATGTGGTTTAGATTTACTTCATCTATAAAATGGGAATAATTTATCTACTTGTCAGGCCCCAGAAAGCAGAAACAGTTCTCTTTCAGTTCCAAGATGTAGTCATTCATTTGAAATTGACAGTGTACTTAGTATGCAAGTACGCTGGACAATGAGTCTACAGAGATCAGTTACTCGGATAGCTGCAATGCAAATGTATCAGGTGCAATGTGGGTTTGGGGGATGTGGTTGGAGGGGGGTCCAAGGCAAAGGTGTCAGGTGTGCATTGGAATTCACATGTATGCTTCTATTCCGAGAGGTACCTATAATCCACAAATTATCATGGCTAATTTCTTGGCGCATTTCTATATTTGTAGTAGGAATCTTTCTACAGCTCTTACATAACTCGACTATGTAAAATCAGCATGGTTCTTTGGTGTTGTGTGATCATGTATGACCAAAGTATGATGGCGTTCCATTTAAAAACTCTAAATTGTCAAGGCTTTTTTGTCTGGATGTTACATGCAAGCTGATTGGCTGTGTGGTGTTTTTTGTTCTGTGTTTTTTTTTTAATTCAAATTTATTTTATTTACAGTTTCAAGAGTGATAAGAATTCTTCAGAGTATACTCACATTCTCAATCATTCAGCTTTGGGGAAATGCATCCCAAACCCAATGCAAAATAATATTGAATGTAAACTGTAACTGGAAAAAAAATTTAAAAGACCAGTTTGCAACAGTACTCAGACATAATAAGGAGAGAACCAAATTACGTAAAAAGGAAATGTGTGAATAAAGTTGATATACACTGGCTGAAAAAAATTGAGTCTTAAATAATTTAAGAATAATGTATTTGTATATAAAACCAAGTTGGTAATAAAAATGAACTGGAAAATACTTGATAGACAATGGAAAGCTAACATGTTGGTATTTGATGTGCCTCAGGAAAAGCCCACCATTCAAAGAACAGAAGAAATAATCAGATTTAAAGCTGGAAATAAAAAGTTCCTGAGTTGATGAAAGACATGTGCTTAAGAATGCACAAGTTAAAATGGGAACAAATTAGGAAGTAAAACTAAGAAGTAAAAGGATTCGAGAAATAAGGTAAGGGAAAAAATAAGACTATTGACTATAACAGATTAAATCAACAGAAGCAACAAAGATAAGTCAACATTACAAAAATCATATAAATTATAAGGAGGGGTAGCATGAAAAAGAAATGCTTTGAGAATACAGAGAATCAGCAAAAAGGTAAAGGTGATTAGAGAAAAACATGTTATGGAGCTAGAAGTCAAATCCAGGCATATCTGACTTCAAAGTCTGCACCGTTGTCTTCTGCCCTTGGATACATGCACAACCACTCACCTTCAACTTTCTTGCTACATTTAGCTTATTTTAATTCCACGTTACACTCTAGACCGCTATCTATTCAAATGACCAGAATATGTATACTCTGTTGAGAATCACATGTCATTAAAGCCATTTCTGATGTATGATCTAATAGGAAAAGATATAAGCCTATGACGGAATAAGAAAGGTATGTATATGAGTTCACAGAACTCAGACCCTACCTAAAATCTGCTCCAGAATACAATGTAGCCTTTCACGGGGAAAATCTGGGAAGGAGTTCATCTATGACCTGCACACCAGGGAAGGCCCGCGGGGAGAAGGTAAGTCCAGCGCAGCCTGCAATCTTTCGCTTGTAAAATGTAAACATCTCCCAGTCAGGAGAGAGCATGGCCCTCAGGTCCTTTGTTTGTTTGTTTGTTAATGCTCACCTAAGGATATTTTTCCATTGATTTTTTAGGGAGAGTGGAAGAAAGAGGGAAAGACAGAGAGAAACATTGATGTGAGAGAAACACATCGATTGATTGCCTCCTGCACACGCCAAGGTACATGCCCTTGACTGGAATCGAACCCAGGACCCTTTGGTCCACAGGCCGACACTCTATCCACCGAGCCAAACCAGCTAGGGCAGTCCTGAGGTCCTTGCATCCTCTGTCCTGAACAGGTAAACGCCATCCTTTCTGCTCTCCACCTCCTAACCTACTTCTAAACTTCTTAGCTGCAGACCCCTCAACTCATCTCTTATTTTCTATATTCTGATGCCCTCCTCACGTCTGCTAATTGTTACTAGACCTCAAGCACTGACGTCCACCTTTCTTCCCCTATCAATTACTTAACTTATCTGTGTCTTAAGTTCCTCTTCTACAAAAACAAAATAATAGTATGAATTTGTCTGTGGACCCTAGTGACTTTGGGTATCATCATATTTTCTAGAGTTGGAATAAGAACCTTATTAAACTTTCAAGAACAGCAAAAATGCAATAATCAAAAATTAAACAAAAGAGAATAGGTAATAGCATTAAATTTGGCATCTAAACTATTGACTCAACTAATCAACAGGAGCAATAAGTTTCCAACATTAAATCATGGACCAGGGTCTTGCTTCAGAATTAACTGAAAAACAGTTAAACATTCAGTGGTCTCATAAGCTGCAAGTGATGCTGTGGATAATCCTAATCATCATATTGTCCAAAGTAGTAGATTTGGCTTTTCCACTTACTTGCTCCAGTGGTCAAATATAGGGGTGGGCAAAAGTGGTTTTACAGTTGTGAGTGCATGAAACACAGAGTTTATTTATTAATTATTGTATTATTTATTTGTTACTATTATTGTTTTTATTTTCATATCCTTTCTTATTATTAGGGTGATAAGGGCTGGTTATTTAACCTACTTTTGCCCACCCCTGTATCTGCCATTTATTCCACCAGTTTCCCTATCTGTGCCATAGGCCAGTGTCACTTTATGTAATGTCCCCAAGAGACCTCTGGAGGGCGGCAGAGGGAAGGATGTCAAGAGCTGTGGTACAAAAACCAACTGGAAAGACAAATTGTAGTCTATTTTATTACTATAGGCATGAAATCTTCAAATCAAATAAAATCTGCAAATTTGTCCCCCACCGACAAGACATCTGGACTAAGGTAATTGTGTTGAAGGTCTGCTTTGCTTTACTAGTGTAGACTCCATCTTTCTGTTCTCTAGAAAAGTCTTTGGTCTTGAACCCAATCTTTTTCTGTACCCTGAGCTGTGGGGCTATTTTCAGTATCAACAGGAAGAGACCTGCCCCAGCAACATTACATTCCCAAAAGCCAAACAATACTTAGACCCCTGGGGAAAAAGAAGTATTCAGTATGTCTCTCAGAAGACCTCATAGGCTGTTTATTCTTGACTTCCTTTTCTTGCTTTACCAGTTCTCTGACACCATGCACCTTCCTCTTGCAAATAAACATAAAACCCTCATATTCCCAGAACAGCAAGAAATACTTGGGAAACATGGTCTTTTGTCAAGTGAATCTCTTGGGTTTATAATAAAAACAAATTCTCTACTCATATTCTATCCTCTTCTAACATCAATTTTATTATTCTCCCTTACATTGCACTCCCAAATTAGCTCCATTGTCTGTGCTCTAAGAATACTTTGGCTCAGTGTAGCCCCCTTCCACTTCAGTGGTGCTGATGAGTGATGTCAGGAAATATCAGCTCACACATGTTTTCTCTATAAACTCACAGATATTGTTTTCTATACCATAGTAATAAGTAATATCTAAATAAGTAAATGTCATAACTAATAATAAAAATAACTAAATGTGTGGTGGGTAGGGATGGGGACTGTCCTCGTGTCAAAAGAAGAGAGAGCATCAGAAATGATCAACTCACCTGAAAATTCTGGGGCTGCTTCCAGCACAATGCCAGACATAGGCAACTCAGCTCTAGTAGAAAATGCAAGCCTGTACAGCTCAGAAATTGTCCCAGAATAGCCATTTGGTGCTGTGCTTCCTCAATTGCCTGCATCCAGCTCACAATGGCACTGGGTTTTAGAATTACTAGCTTCAAACTCATTCAAGACTCTCATTGTCCATACACAAAGAGTCTACTGAGAGAGAGAGAGAGAGAGAGAGAGAGAGAGAGAGAGAGATCCACACCCAGAAAAAAGAGGAAAAAAAAGATAAGAAAAAGCAAATGGGCTATTTCTCTAGTCACAGGGATATAAAACACAGTATAGGGAATACAGTCAATAATATTGCAATAACTTTGTATGGTGTCAGATGGGTACTACTAGACTTATTGGGGTGATCACTTAGTAAGTCATGTAAATGTCTAATCACTGTGCTGTACACCTGAAACTAATATAATATTGTATACCAACTGTAATAGAAAAAATTTTAAATTTATCTTTATTGTTAAAAGTATTACAGATGTCCCCCCTTTTCTCCCATTGATCCCCTCCACCCTGGGCCCACCCACCCCCAGGCCTTCACCATTCTATTGTCTGTTCCATGCTTCTATGTTCCTGGATCTATTTTGTTCATCAGTTTATTTTGTTCATTAGATTCCACATATGAGTGAGATCATGTGATACTTGTCTTTATCTAGCTTATTTCGCTTAGCACAATACTCTCCAGGCCCCTCCATGCTGTCTCAAAGGGTAAGAGTTCCTTCCCTTTTACAGATGCATAGCATTCCACTGTGTAAATATAGCAAAGCTTTTTTTATCCATTCATCTACTGATGGGCACTTGGGCTGTTTCCAGATCTTAGCTATTGTAAATTGTGCTGCTATGAACATAGGGGTACATATATTCTTTTTGATTGGTGTTTTGGGTTTCATAGGATATATTCATAGAAATGGAATCACTGGGTCATAAGGTAGTTACTATTTTTTCTCTTAGGAAACTCCACTGTTTTCCACAGTGGCTGTACCAATCTGCGTTCCCACCAACAGTGCATGAGGGTTTTCTTTTCTCCACATCCTCACCAACACTTGTTTGTGGATTTATTGATGGTAGCCATTCTGACAGGAGTGAGGTGAATCTCATTGTGGTTTTAATTTGTCTCTCTCTGATGATTAGTGACATTGAGCATTTTTTCATATGTCTATTGGCCATCTATGTGTCCTCTAGAAAATTATCTATTCAGATCCTTTGCCCATTTTGTTAATTAAAATATTATTTCATTGATTTTTTACAGAGAAGAAGGGAGAGGGATAGAGAGCCAGAAACATCTATGAGAGAGAAACATTGATCAGCTACCTCCTGCACACCCCCCACTGGGGATCAAGCCCGCAACCAAAGTATATGCCCTCGCCCGGAATCAAACCTGGGACTCTTCAGTCCATGGCCCAATGCTCTATCCACTGAGCCAAACCAGTCAGGACCCTTTGCCCATTTTTAAAAATTGGATTTTTTGTGTGTGTTGAGTTGTATAAATTATATATTTTGGAAATTAACCCCTTATCAGATGTATCATTGTCAAATATGCTCTCCCATACAGTGGGTTGTCTCTTCATTTTGTTGGTTTCCTTTGCTGTGCAAAAGCTTTTTAGCTTGGTATAGTCCCATTTTTTTATATTTTCCTTTGTTTCCCTTGCCTGGGGAGAACACATCAGTAAAAATATTGCTATGAGAAATGTCTGAAATTTTACTACCTATGTTTTCTTCTAGGATTTTTATGATTTTGTGACATACATTTAAACCTTTAATCCATTTTGAGTTTATTCTTATGTGGACTTTTTAAAGAACCCTTGCCTTTATCTTTGGATCTTGAGTCCTAGGTAGGCATAAAGAAACACTATTAATTAAAAAAAAAAAACACTCAGGATCTTAACGAGGATTTTTAAGTGTCATGAACCATTGTACAAGTAAAAAAAAATCTGGAATAAAAGGTAGAATGGGTCTCTAGATGTTGATTCCCAGATTTCTAGTACATGAACTTGTGGAAACCTTCCACTATGCAAAGTCTGTTGGGGAAAGGGGAGAAAAGAGCATTTTGAGCTTGAATTCCAACTAAAACTTGATTCCAACATCTCTAAAATATTAATGCCTTACTTTCAGTTCTGGCAACATAGAAGACTAATCTGATAATCACACTGTAAATAAAAGCAAGATTCAACTTCATGCTGTCTATAAAAGATGTTCTTTAACCATACAGATGAACCTTGAGGACATTATGCTAAGTGCCCTCCCACACTCACAAAAAGAGAAATACTGCACAATCCCACTTACATGAGGTATCTAAAATGGTCAAATTCACAGAATCCAAGAGTGTAATGGTAGTTTCTAAGTTCAAAGGGGAGGGAGAAATGGGGAGTTACTAATCAATGGGCATAAATTTTCAGATAAGCAAGATGAATTAATTCTAGAGATCTACTGTAAATATTGCACCTATCCAACAATAATGTATTGCACACTAAATTTTTATTAAGAGGATGAACCTCATTTTAAATGTTATCACAATACTTACATGTATGAATCCATTAATCTGAAGTTCTAGAACAGGCCAAACTATTATGTGGTGTAAAAAATAAGAACATTGGTTGTCTCTAGGGTATGAGGATGAGGCTAATTGGGTAGGTGCTTGAGAAATCTTTTCATATGATCCAGCAGTCCATCTCATGGGTATTTACCCTAGAGCAGTAGTCGGCAAACTGCGGCCCCTTGAGTGTGGCTCTTCCACAAAATACCACGTGCGGTCACGCACATACAATGCTATTGAAACTTCGTGGCTACACTCAAGGGGTCAAAGAGCCGCATGTGGCTCGCGAGCCGCAGTTTGCCAACCACTGACCTAGAGAAATGAAAATTTATGTCCATACAGAAACTTATCCATGACTGTGTTGAACTAAAAAACAACAGTAAATTAAGTCAGTTATTTTACCAACAAAAATGGGCTCATTGGGGGAACAGCAAAGAATTGCAATTCAGAACAAACTATGGCAAAACCATAGGCAAGTGCAGAGAACAAAGGAGAGGAACTGTTCCTTTTTAGAGGAATGGGGGAAGTTGGGAGAGGCTGTTACAAATAGAGTCCATTGGAGAAAATTGGGAGTTGGAAGTGTAGTGAATTTTCACTGGATGGGCTGTGACAGTTTCTCATTGGTTGTCCGGCAATGAGAAAATCTTCCTTGTAGTTCAGTGAAAGACTAGTACACTGGCATAGAAACAGTAGCCATAATCAAAATCAAACTACATAGGACAAAAAGAAGTCTCATTCACTTTAAATTATGGGTATCAGAGTCAGTTATTAATCTGGCTTTCAGGAACTAAGGCCCCCTTCCCTAGGTATATGTAAATCGAGTGATTTGATGAAGAACCTGGTCGAGCACAGGTTACACACGCCAACTAGGGGTTGGGGGAAAAGCCTTTCCAGGGGCACAGTTCCCATGCAAAAATGTTGAGGGGCTAGACTTTGCCTGGTACAAGCAGCATATGCAAATAGAGAATCCAGGATCAGCCCTGGCCAGGCACCCTCTGTTGCTAGGTGACAGCTTGTTTACCTAGGTTGCTAAGTGTGTCTTTTAGCATCTCTAAGGGAACAGGACCAAAAAAACTGATCCTTCATGACCTTCATTCCGATTTTGCATCTTTATTGCTTGTCCAATCCCCCCCACCCCCGACCCCCATCACTACTCAATCACCCCGTCAAAGCCACTGCCCCATGGGAGTCAATGCCAACCACTCCGCCCACCCCTCCATTCTGCAGGCGGGTTGGCATTGCACCTTCACCCTATCACGATGCCTGAGTCATGGTCTTGCACTCCACCCCAGTGAACACCAGCCTTCTGGGGACCTTGCCAGGCTCTGACTTGCTCAGAGGCGATGGGGGAGTTTTCCAGACCCCAGCCTACCCCCACCCAGCCGGCCTCTCCCACCCTGGACCACCCCCTGCACTGTCACCATGGGGGCTGCTCCTGTCCTGTCATCCCCGACTCCACCCCCGCTCCCAGGAACACACCACCACCAGCCCATCCCTCCAACCACCTCCCACACAGAGTGACTGAAGCAGGCACAGGGGTTTCCTTCAACACTTTATTTTCAATAACTTGGCCCAAGGCGCCAGACAGGCCCGGGCTGCCTGGGCTGTGAGTGGGCCGAGGCCCGGGGAGCCCAGGTCATGTTGGGAAGCTACCGCCTGCCCGGGGCCACTTGGGAGACGGTGGTGTTCTCGAAGAAACCGCTGAGCAGTGCGTTGTTGTGGATCGCCATGTCCAGCAGCTCCGGGGTGATGCGCCTGCAGCCGATTTTCTGGGCCTCGTTGCCCGCCAGCTCCAGGATCGTGGCCGTCAGGTACTGGATGATGGCCGCCAGATACACAGGTGCGTTGGCGCTGAGACGCTGGGTGTAGTGGCCGTCCAGCAGGAGGTGCTCCAGGTGGCTCACAGAGAAGGTCAATTCAGCTCTGCGGGTGCGGCTTCGGGTGCGGTTCCGCCTCTGGTGACCAGAAGAACCTCCGCGGCTCCTTTGCTCAGACATGCTGGGCGCTGGGGTGAGCTGCCTCCGACCCGTCTAGCTCTGCCGTGCGGTTCAGTGCGGTTAGGTTCAGGAAGGTGCCCGTTGGTCTCAACCGCCCAAGGTGGCCAGTACAGAGGCTCCTGCTCCGTAGCCTCGCGACCATGGACCGACCCCTCATTGGTCCAGGTACAGGCTGTATGACACATAAGTTCGGTGAGGTCACTGCTTTCCCATTGGCCCTGGTGGGCCGCGGCCTGCAAAGAAGGGTGCTGGCAGCGCCCTGCTCACCCTTACTCATGGGACCCTCTCTTTGAGGAAACTCTCACTGTCCACTGGACAGGATTGTTGTAGAGAAAAACCATGCGGGATCCAGTGGCACCAGGTATAACTGGCGATGTTGGACAGCCAGCACACCTACCTACTTCCAAAGCGTTGGAACCTCCCCCAAAGAAACCCCTGTACCCTGTGTGGCAGTCACTCCCACTGCCTTCCTCCTCTCCCCACCCCCACATGCCCTCTCCTCCTCCCCTAGACCCAGGCAACCATGAACCCGCTTCCTGTCCATAGAGGCTCGCCTATTCTGGAAATTTCTAGGGATGTAATCATAGGATAAATGGGTGGCTTTTTGTGTCTGCCTACCTTCACTGAACATAATGGTCTCATTATGGTTCACCCCAGTGGTAGCATGAATCAGCACTTCATTCCCTTTTCATGCCTGAATAACATTCCATTGTATGGGTGGACTACATGTTGGGCATCGGTTCCTCAGTGGATGGATGTTTGGGTCATTTTCACCTTCTGGCTGTTGTGAATAGCACCGCGGTGAACATTCCTGCACAGGGTTCCGTTTGAACACCTGTTTTCCGTTCTTCTGTGTGCATATCTAGGAGAGGAATTGCCAGGCCATGTGGTAATTCTATGTTGAACTTCCTGAGGAACCGCCCACTGGTTTCCATAGTGATGGTTCCATTTTACAGTTCTGACAACAGTGTCTGAGGCCCCCATTGCTCCATATCCTCATCAAAACTCATTTCCCTTTTGTTTTGCTTATAATCTCATCCCAGTGTGTGTGAAGTGGTAGCTCATGGTTTTGATTTGCATTTCCCTCGTGGCTAGTGATGTTGAGCATCCTTTCATGTGCCTCTTGGCCATTTGTACATCTGCTTTGGAGGAAGCAGATGTACTTTCAACTGCTTTGCCCATTTCCTAAAACTGGGCTGCTTGGCTTTTCTGTTGCTGAGTTTTAAGGTTCTTGATGCAGTCTGGAAAGTAGGCCACTATCAGATATGTAATTTGCAAATGTCTCTCCCATACTGGAGTTTGTCCTTTCACTTTCTAGATAGAGTCCTTTGAGGCACAAATGTTTTGCATTTGGATGGCATACAATTTATTTGTTTTACAGTGCAGAATGGGGATTGGAAATGCTTCTACTTCTTAAACAGTTTTCACCCTCATTGTTTTGGTGCCCACCCCCTTCACCTCCACTTCCAGTTAGCCTTTGCAGCCTTTGAAGATTCTTCTGGTGGGCAGAAGGACAGTAGTAAATCAGGATGGTTTGGGGCTTTTCCTACTTAGGGCTTAGGATTCCTAGTTTGTGGCCTTCTGGGGTCTGTTCAGTTAATTACTACTCATCTATCTCCTTTCCTGCTTTTTCAATCTTGTCAAATATAATTTTTGAGTAATTTCAGTAGATTTGGGGGACTTGATAAAGTTATATGTGGAAGTATGTGTTCCCCGTCAACTATACCTCATGGAGAGCATGGAGGTCTGCTTGTCTGCCTCATTCACCCTGTGTGCTATTTTTTTTTTAATCAAGCCACTCACCCTAAAATACTCCAGACTCAGATGGTCTCATCGGGTTCTTTCATCCATTCTGTGACCTTTTTTTGCCCTTTCAGCTCTCAGCCCCAAGACCATGTACTCCAAACCAACTTCCTAACCATAAACCCTCAGGCCATGCTTGAAGTTCAGATGCCTTGCCAATATCTGTCTGCTTCATAACCTGTCTATTCTCTCTGACCCCTAGTGTTTCCTCACACTTTTCCAGTTCTGACCCTCATAACTCTACTCCTTCTCACTAAGTATAATGCTGACTCCTATCAGACACAGGCTAGCCCTGGTCCCTCCTATTCATTCAAATTATGATATTGGTGACAGTGATAACTACTAAGTGCTAAATGTTTCTTATGTGATGCTCACTATGGTAGACACTTTATACACATGACTTTGTTTCATTCTTCATCACAGCTTTACCTGATAGATGGCATTTATTAGACCCATTTTGTAGATTCTACCTGATAGATGGCATTTATTAGACCCATTTTGTAGATGAAGAATCAGAGGCTCAAGGAGGGAGAGCAGCTTCCCAGAATTCACCAGGCTGGTAAGAAACAGAGATGGAATTTAAACCCAGATCAGGCCAAGCCCATGCTCTTCTTAGGACATTATCCCGCTTCAGTCAAGGCATCAGAGAGGGAGCTGGTAAGCAGAAGGTGAGAAGGTACTTAGTGCCTGAACTGGAAAAATGGCCACCATCAATGGGACAAAAGGTAGACCATGAAGAAAGATGGGGCTAACAAAGACAAAGCTCCACTGACTTCACAAGTTTGAATAGCATTGATCCTGTGATCTCCATTTGTGCACAGGATAAATTACGATGCTTATCTACCCACACAGACAGAAAGTTAGTACACCACTATAAATCAATATACTCACCAACATGGGTTAACATATTGCGGGTAGATCACGAGCATTCTTGTGTTTTCATATTACACAGTGTTTTGCATAAATGTTAAAGGCACGCCTTAAAATTAAATACCCATTGCATTTTGAAGTTATTTATTGCATGTTCTTACAAGCTAATATCTTTTTAAAATATGATACTTTGTAAAACGTTTTTTGTACTCGTTCAATAGCAACTTATCTGGCCACTGGGTAAAGCTAGCAATAAAACTACTGGTGCGCAATGTGTTAGGATGATTTATCACAATTGTAAAAGGTGCTTGATTATTTTTGTCCAGAAAGAAAGCTTGAATTCTATTAATAAAGCTAAGACTTTTACTGCTTTCTAGCCTGGCACAAAAATGAAGTCATAACAATAAGCCTGAGTCGTCAAGAAAGCATGTAGTCATATTTTACAAACCAAATTTAGGGAATTATGGCCCTAGCTGGTTTGTCTCAGTGGATAGAGTGTCGGCCTGTGGACTGAAGGGTCCCGGGTTTGATTCCTTTCAAGGGCATATGCTCAGTTTGCAGGTTCGATCCCCAGTGTGGGGCCTACAGGAGGTAGCCAATCAATGATTCTCTCTCATCATTGCTATTTCTTTTTTAAAAGAATATATTTTATTGAATTTTTACAGAGAGGAAAGGAGAGGGATAGACAGTTAGAAACATTGATGAGAGAGAAACATCGATCAGCTGCCTCCTGCGCACCCCCTACTGGGGATGTTCCCGCACCCAAGGTACATGCCCTTGACTGGAATCAAACCCTGGACCCTTCAGTCCACAGGCCGGCGCTCTATCCATTGAGACAAACCGGTCAGGGCTCATCATTGCTATTTCTATCTCTCTCTCCCTCTCTCTTCCTCTCTGAAATTAATTAAAAAATATATTTAAATAACAAATTTAGGGAATTAGGGAAGAATAAAATCCACATGGGAAAGATTTACATTGATTTCCCACTCAAGATGGTAGAGTGAGTTCATACTATGGAAAGCCTACCACTCCAAACACATGGCAATGATGGGAAAAAATATTAACAGGTAAAATAAAAAATGAACAGCCAAGACAAAAAAAAATGGTCTGTGTTGAAATGGCAGGCTTTGTAGACTGGAAGAAATTACTGATAGCAAGAAGTTGAGCTCCTTGCAGAGTATAACATTCCAAAAGTACTCTGAGTAAGATGAAGCACGAAAACCAGGCTTATTGCTTCAGCCCAAAGACTAGCATCAAACTATCCAAAACCCCACTAACTCCTGAATGTATATCTGACAGAAAAAGAACTACTATCAAATCTATCAGGGTCATTGGCTCTTGTGAGTTTCAGGCCTACAGAGATGAGAACAAAGACATTGCCTGACATCACAACTAGGAGCTGAGCTAAGTAACCAGCTGGCTCTGTGAGTGGATCCCCTAAGATGCCCAGGAGCTCTCTGCGGAAGTGATATGAACATGTCCTATAAAATGGTTTTAATCCTAACAACTGACTGGTATTTTGCAAGAGTGCAGTAAGAAGGAAAGGGTGCTGAATAGAATGATTTCCTTCTATCACAAAGCTTCTACCTTTGCAACAAGTAAAATTAGAGAAATTGGAAAACACTTTTTAGAAAGTGAGGGGGTTTTGTTGATGTTTGCAAACTATTTATAAAACTAATCTAGCTATTCTTGTGTGTTTTTTTATGGAATTTCCATGCAAGCAAGAAGACAATGAAGTCACATCTTTAAATTATTGAACAATTTAACCCATAATTCTATACCAATTGAAAATATCCCTAGAAAAATAAAGAAGAAATACTTATTAGATGAACAAAAACTGAAAAGAATTGTCAGCATACCTACCCTGCCAGATATGTTAAAAGAAGTTCTTTCAGAAGAAATACAATAGAGTTTAGAAACTTGGATTAGACAAAGAAATGAACAACTTTGTATATGATATAAAGGAATGTAAAATACAACATATTTCTCTCATTTTAAGGGTATTGAAAAATAACTATTTGTTTAAAGCATTAATGGCAGTAATATATGGGCTGTTTATAACATATGCAAAATGAAATGTAGGAGAACAATGACACAAAAATGGATACAATTCTTACATTACACTAGAAGTGGTATAATATTACTGGAAAATAAACAGTCTACTTATTGAAAACTCAAGATAATGACTGAACTAATTTAAGAAAAGATGCATAAATTATATCAATGGAGGAGATAAAATGGGATCATATAAATTGCCCAATTAAAACCAGAGAAGGCAGAAAAAGAGGGAAAATAACGCAGCAGACTTACAATAAAAATAAAACAGCTAGAAATATGATAGATGTTCATCTAATTATATTAGTAACTTTTAATATGAATAGACTAAATACACCGGTAGAAAGAACTTGTCAGATTGTGTTAAAAATTACAACTCAACTAAATCTTCAATAAACCCAATTAGAATATAAACGTATGTAGATTAAAAGTAAAGAGATGAGAAAGGCATAGCCTGCAAATGTTAACAAAAAGAAACCTGGATGGGTGTGCCATCAGCATCATGGCAAAATGTGACACCCTCTTAGTGTTTCCCCATAAGTCTACAGCTTGTCAGACATCTATAATACAACAAAAGTTT